ACCCTGGAGCGAGCTCTGGGGCTGGAGCCGACCCTGGAGCGAGCTCTGGGGCTGGAGCCGACACTGGAGCGGGCTCTGGGGCTGGAGCCGACCCTGGAGCGAGCTCTGGGGCTGGAGCCGACCCTGGAGCGAGCTCTGGGGCTGGAGCCGACCGCCTTCTCCTCAGATTCCTCTTCTGGTTCGGGGTGAAAGGCGTGGTCGGCGGGCTTGACTCGGGAACGGCCGGCGGTCCTGGGCTGAGGATAAGGGAGGAACTTGAGGATAAGGGAGGAACTTGAGGACTCGGGGAAGAGCGGGAGGAAAGGAGGGAGCGGGCTCATTGGAGCAGTATGTGGAGGGAGCTGGCTTGTGGTGAGCTGGAGCGCCCACATGCTTCTGGATGGGAGGAGGATGAAGATCCTCCACATCTACAAGGAACTTGGAACCATTTATTTCTAAAACATCATTTAGAAAGTCCGCTACGGGTCTGCAGCAATCGTCAGGAGTCAAGAAACTAAACAAATTGTCATCTTTTAGTCCCATCCGGAAGCACGCATTAAGCATGGAGTCGCTCCAACTCACCAGATGTATCAGGCTCAGAAACTCCTCCACATACTGCTCCAAAGGCCTTCCCTCCTGCTGGAAATCCAAGAGAAAATCCTCAGCCCAGTTCATCTGTTATTGGTCTCGGTTTCTGTCACGGTATGTGGTTGTAGTGAGCGCACAGAGAAGGAGTAGAAGTAAAGGAGTCTTTAATTATAACTTAAAACACAAAGAACAGGAGAACTGAATAGCATCAACACACATCTTCCATTTCTGAACATTAAACCGAGACAAAGAAACTCAGGAGAACACAGGGCTTAAATACTGAACCAAACAAGGGACTAATGAGTAAATTAACAAGGAACAGGAGACTGACTAATAATGAGAACAGGAACTGAACCAAATTAGGGCAGACACGAACTAAACAGAAACAAACATGTGACAGATATTTTATTAGAATTGAATTTATAATAAAATGAATGAAATGATCAAATTATAAATGTGATGAAATTATGAGTATGTTATTATATATAAATTGTGTTTTTATTCTTTTATGTTATTTGAATCTATAGTGTTTTATTTAAAAATATGTAATTTTAATATAAAAATAATTTTATCATATAAATGTATAATTAGATTGATTGCTATTCTTAACAGCTTGTGTGCAAATATAAATACAGAATAGTCACATACATTGTCAGACAGTCGATTCTTGCATTGCCTGTGCCTACTTGCCTTTCAAAAAGGTATCGCCCGAACAGGGACTTGAACCCTGGACCCTCAGATTAAAAGTCTGATGCTCTACCGACTGAGCTATCCGGGCTCTCGCGAAAACAACCCACAGTCCCTTCTGAGAAGATACGGCATGAACTCTAGAAAAACTCAACTTCCGGAAAAGCAGAGGCTTTTTTTGGTAGGAGGTCTCTAATTAGGTGTCCTTCGCAATACACATTCTTATAATCGCGTTTTAATTCTGTTCATTCGACTCTGCGCGCGCAGTAACGTGACATAGGTAGGAACATCATTTTAACATGTTCTGTAAATGTGCAGCGCGAGCTTCAAGGGCGCTGCGGCCTACGCATCCTCGGTGTGGAGTGTTGACGCTGCCCGCTCTAAGCGACACTGTGTCGGCCAGCGGAACGTCCTGGTCACATTGGACATATAAACGGGAATCAAGTAACTCTGCCTGGAGTTCCAAGGTAAAGCGTGATTAATTTGTATACCATTGTGTTGGGTTGAATACATGTGTAAGATGTAAATTAACCTATTATAGGTGAACAAATATTTTATGTTGAACATATTATGCAACGCTAATATAAATATTTCGCACTTTGTTCAACTCTTCAGGTTCCTCAGATACCCACATGGGAGCCCGTAGCTGAAAATCAACTTCCACCGGTAATGATTATTTTGCACACGTTTATATAGCTCGTGTTGTACACATGCAATAAACCTTTAATAAAAGTAATTATACATTAATTAAAAATATAATTATTAATACATCAGCGATTATGTTTTATTATAGTAAAAATGTAGTAACTCTTGTTTTTTGGCGTATTGATATACCATTTGTATAACTACAGTTTTACTACAAATACCATAGTTAAACAACGGTAAATTTGTGGTTACCATGGTTTAACTATAGTAAGCATGTGTTTTTTTCTGTAGTAAAACCATGGTTAATTTTTAGGAAGGAATGTGCAGTAGTGGACAGTCGGGTAAAATGTGCACCACCAACAATTTTGTCATATCACCATATATTTCGCCAAGCCTAATTGACAACCTAAGCTCAAAGTGGCACGACTGGAGCATGGTAACAGAAGCCCACATAAAGATAAAACTTTACTTTGACAATCTTTACAATGTTTCTTGAACCTCCTAGTACAGGGCAGCAGAAAACATCGTTCAGAAACTGAGCAGCACTCAACCTTACATTTAAACTGTTGTGTTTATGTGAAAAGTTTTGCTTGAACAACAATTAAATTTATTAATAAAGAATATTATTTCTGTACATAGATTATTTTGTACATTCGTAATTTGTTTATTTTGTACATACATCACACACACATACAGAGTTTAATAATACTTGGCAATAAATCTCATTCTGATTTATTATTAATAAAAATGAAGAATTTTTGTTTTCCTAAAAGAAGTAACTATATAACCATGGTTAAACTTTTATTTGCAGCCAACAAGAGTCTCGCCAGATTTAGTGGACAAGTTGGAGAGATTAGCCCTTGTTGACTTTGGCAGTAAAGAAGGGGTGGACTGTCTGGAAAAAGCCATTCGTTTTGCTGATCAACTTCATGTCATTAATACTGATGGTGTGGAGCCGATGGATTCAGTTCTAGAGGACAGGTATTTAAGAATCATGCTGAAGCTCACATCAGCTCATATAAGTTATGTGACAGTGTGCTAGTTGTTATGGGTGTGACATCCAGTCAGTTTAGGGGTATCCATTGAATAAAGACCCTTTTTGATGGTGTTTTCTTTGGTTGACTGTTAAAGGGGTCATATGATGCTTTTTTAAAGATCATTATTTTGTGTATTTGGTCTAACAGAATATGTTGACATGCTTTAATGTTCAAAAAACACATTATTTTTCAAATACTGTACATTATTGTAGGTCCTCTATGCCCCGCCTCTCTCAAACGCTTCGTTTTCTACAAAGCCCCCTCCTTTGACAAGCGCAGTCTGCTCTGATTGGCCAACTGACCCAGTGCATTGTGATTGGCCAAACACCACAAGCACGCGTCGGAAATGTAACACCCCTTACCATAACCGCGAGCTTCACCTTTCAAAGTAAATATCAGTTAATAATGACGTTA